CAATTATTATGTTATCTACTGATGGAATTATTAGGATGTAAACAACATTTTCGAGCAACTTTGCAAAAGTGTACAAACCACTGATAGGTCTATAATTAGTTACCAGTTATGCAAATCACAAAACCATCAATCTGCTATGGATATTTAAGATATAGATATGGCGTATTCTTTTCAATTTCAAGTCCGTTACTAATTTTAGTAAAATAAAAGTCACTCAGATATTCCATTATAAAATAGTCCATAAACTCAAAAACAATTCAACTAAAATCGGTTCACAATATTGGTCATAAAATCGGTAAGGAAATCCATAGTCGGTAATTTGAAAATGAATGATAAAAACAAGCAATTTCTTAAAATCGTCCAGTCAGTTAATGTGAAAAGAGAGAATGACTGAAAATGCATAAAAACAAAATAAATATACAGACATCACAACAACAGTTTCAATGCATTCGTGAGACCTATACAATCATCACGTTATGTTATGTATGTTTTGCCTAAGAGTATTTGAGATCAATAACTTAAGTTATTTCTTGAACAGACATTTTTAAGTACCTGCGACTCCTTAGGCCATCTACTAGATATATCTAAGTTTAGTGTAGCTAAGTTTTCAACGTAGGCTCATAGTTTCAGTCTACTTGACACCATTTTTACAACAGAAATGACGAATTGGTTAAATATACGTACCTGGCGGATTCTTTAGGCCAGTGGTTAGTCCATCTAAGAAGGCTTGTTTTGCTGATTTAATTGAAGAGTCAGCCCATACTTTAGGTTTTGAATGTCCTGCATATATTCAGGTTTCATCCAAGTAATAAATCTTCCTGTCCTGGTCGCGCTATTTCTTTATTGATTTTAAATAATTTCTTCTCCATAAAATAATCTCTTTTTTTATTCTTTAACAATGTTGAAAATTGTCCTAGGACATAAGCCTATTTGGGTCGAAGAAATAGCTTGCACTTCGTGGCTTTGGAATAAAAATCAAAAAAAGACACGAAAGATAGAGCAAACTTGATTTACTGTACCTATAACCAAAAGTGGATGGCAGGAGCGATAAGAAAAAAGAGAAGGAGAGAGAAGAAAAAGAACATGGATAGAGCAAAGGAAAAGAAGAAAGCATAAAACAGAAACTCAAAAACGATTGACAATAAGATAACAAACAACTCCTGGATAAGATTTCTGTTGTTCAAATCACAAGGAAGTCTCTTCCCTTCCAAAGGCTGAATCGTGTGTGGAATGTACAGGGTGGCGCTCGAAAACGAAACAGACGCATTTACTGGCAGCTCAGTTTTTTTTTTTTTGAAAAACACTCAGACCCGTCGATTTTTTTTTCAAGGGGAACACAAGTTTGGCAAAACATCACATTAGCATGTGCAGCCCCCTAAGCGGGGGTGACACTACCCCCTAAATCTTAAATGGAAAGGGGGGTCGAGTGATACCTTATTTTAAAGGTATTTCAATTCCCTTTATAATGATATAAAATTAATGTACTTCAGTTGAGTAGTTTTGAAGATTTATTGATTTAAAGCTTAAATAAAACTAATACATCATCATTAGTGGAGACCAATACATTTGGCAGCAAAGTAATTTAAAAATGAAGAATGAACTGACCCGTTAGGCAGGTAAATATTGAAAATGGCCACCATGACTCTCCATGCAATAATAAAGATTTTGCTCAAAACGTTGCCGCACATTTTGCAATATTTGAGGAGTAATTTGAAGGCACTCATTCACAATTCTTTGTCGCAGGTCTTCTAATGATGTTGGCTGAGTAGCATAGATTTTGCTTTTTATATGACCCCACCTAAAGAAATCCAAAGGTGATAAATCTGGCGATCTTGGGGGCCATTCAATGGCACCTCTTCTACCGATCATTCTGATTTTCAATTATGGCTGTTAATGCAGGATCTATGGCATCTTCCAGTAATTCCAAATACATTTCGCCGGTCAAATTTTTAGGTAAGAAGAAAGGACCAACTAAATGATCGCCAAAAATACCAGCCCAAACATTTAATTTTTGTGGCTGCTGTATATGAACCTCATGATAAATTCTGGGATTAGAATCGGACCAATATCGGCAGTTATGACGATTTACTACGCCATTTAATAAAAAGGAACATTCGTCGGAAAAGCAAGTGTTGAATAGAAAATGTTCATCCTTTATAATTCGTTCACTCATATCTCCACAAAATTGTAATCGCCGATCAAAATCGTCTTCATTAAGTTCTTGTACCAGGTGAATTTTATATGGATGAAAACGATGGGCCTTTAGAATCCGTTGGACAGTACGTCGACTAACACAACACACAGTCTCCAATTTGCGGGTACTTAACGTAGGATCTACATAAACTTGCCCTAAAACCCCCACTTCTATTGCTTCGTTATTTATGGGAATTTCAATGTTGCGCTTTTTTTTGGCGACTGACCCAGTTTCCCGAAATTTAGCTGCAAGTTCTAGAACATATTTTCGTTACTGTTCTCATGTCACTCATTAAGTATTTCTGCTGTTCTATTAGCGCACTGATTATTTCCGAAAAATATTTCGATAATTTCAACTCTTTCTGCTGTGGAATATACCATGGTTAATTTATGTTGCGTTACAAGTTATTTTAGCAACAAAGTTTGGTCAAATCAATCGCAAACTATGTACTAAATTCCTATTTAAAATAAGTACGAGACATTTCCTTATCTTTCTTCAAGAAATAACTTTTTTGCCACAAAAAAACGCTCCAATAGCTATTTTCCACAATAAAATGATATACAATCCATGGGCGTAGTGAAGAAAAGCATTTACTTATTAAGTAAATTCTTTTAGTCAAATTTCTTTTGAAAGTAGTACAAACTAATCTGATGTACCTATTGAAGTCTACTTTAGGCTTTAAATCAATAAATCTTCAAAACTACTGAACTGAAGCTCATGTATTTTACATCATTATAAAGGGAATTGAAAGACCTTTAAAATAAGGTATCACTCGACCTCCCTTTTCATTTAAGATTTTAGGGTAGGTGTCACCCCCGCCCAGGGGGCTGCACGTTTTAACGTGATTACTTGCCAAACTTGTGTCCGTCTCGGAAACAAAATCGACGGGTCTGAGCGTTTTTCAAAAAAAAACTGAGCTGCCCATAAATGCGCCCGTTTCGTTTTCAATGCGCCACCCTGTATAACAATTGGTGGCATCAGCCACGTGACGCGTACTTGCGCAGAGGAGAGTTTTTTTGTGATGAATGATGAATTTCACATTAAATGTTTTTAATTTTCATAGCATATTTTATTAGAAAAGCAACGTGGAACATTATAAAGTCTGAGAATATGAAGTCTAATGTGAAGAAACACTAAGGTGTTCAATTACTGTCGGCAAGTTATTCAATTGCTCGATTCAAACTGTTCAATTACTGGAGAATGTGCCTTTTTCAGATAAACGGCTTTAGCTCACTAATAAGAGCTACTATTTTCTAAGATATAAGGGGTTCTTTAGTACCCAAAGCAACCGTCGAAGGATTAAGTAAATGGTTGATCAAGTACCCTAGTAAATTTTTGTCTATGTAGGGGAAATGCTTTTCATTAATAAAATTTGTTAAATCTTAACGTGTTCTGTTTTGCTATTATCTCCTCTTGCCATGCTATTGTCAACTTTTGCCTCATGCCACCATCTGAGGTAGCGGTAGCTATGTATCTCCACTTTGCTGTGTAAGCACCGAAGAGTTGGTGCATCCACAATGTTCTATCTTTTCTGAGCAAGCATCGAAAAGACAATTTTAGCATATGCTGCATATCAGGTTTCAATAAAACAATGAATATTTATTGGAGCAGCTTAACATATAATTTAGTCAGTTGAACATTCTTTAGGAGGGTTTGATAGAAATTTGCACACAACCTTCTTGAAGTTCAAATAGGCGTCGTCGTCAACAGACTTATCATACTTGTCGTTAAAAGCGATGGTTGGCAGGTGGTCTATTTTAAACTCTTTGGCTTTCTTTGAGTAATCTATGAGCAGATCCAAAGCTTGGGTTTCTGCGCAATGCTTCAAGTCTTCATAAGGAATGTTCGCTTGTTTTGCACACTGAAATAACAGAAGATCAAAAATATAGGTACAGTTAGTGCTAGTGGGACGAGATACGTCATTTATTAGCTCTTGACGAAAAATCAAACATTTGTATATGTGTGTTCGTGGCGTCGTAACTCGTAACTCCCCAACGGAAGAACAGATTTGAGACCGGAGAGCTACAGGAATGTTTGATATAGGTGGATCTAACTGATTAGCAGTTATGGAGGTAGCAAATGAAAAATGATTTTCAGATAAATAAATCGGTCTTTTGATAAGAATTCTTGTGGGATAAATCTGTATGATTTCAAACCCACACAAAGGCACCCAAACGGGAGAACTGATTTGAGTTTAATCGAAAGTCTAAATACGAGATTCACTTGAAGGCTGAAGGTCAGAGCTATTTTAATTTGTTGAGCAAATTATTTCTCATTATACAAGATGTTTGATGAACATTAAGCAAAAAAAATCAAGGATTGATTCTTTTGATCATGCTCGTCCTTTAATCGTTTTTATAGAACCACATTGTTAGGAATATAAAATGATGTCTACTAATTGCAAGCAACTCGAAAGGCCGAATGCTTCTATTAAAATCTGCGCATTTCAGTGATATCTGTACTTGAATCGCTTCTACAGACACCACAAATTAACAGTTTTTTTAATTCTGTAACAATAATAAAGTTTCGATAAAACACAGGTCCCCCCATACTGTATTGAAAATAGTTCTGCAATGATTGATAAAATTGAAGCTTGACACTATACCTGAACATTGCAACTTATTGTAGATTAACAAGAAGTATTTTATTGAGATGTAAATGTGTGCACCTTTAAGTATTCCTACATTTTAAAAAGTGTATGGTAGAGTATAGTAGCAGTTGTAATGAGGTTGTGTGATAGTATGTAACAAATTATGAAGACAGAAGCATATACGAGTATGTGTAACTGTATAATAAGAATACTTACTAACTGGAACGTTTCATCTGAAATCTTCTTCTGTTCTAAGCAATGTATGAATTCTAAAGCTACCTTTGTTGTGTTGTTGACAAGAGCACAGCTGTCGTAGGAATTCCCAAGGCATTCATCTGTACCATGTTGACATCTACAAGTCCATTTACCTTCATATTCACTGCACTAAAAAATACGATAATGGATTAATATTGTTGAAGCTTATTTTCCATTGAACATTATATTCAATTGCAGTGCTTTGTACGCAGGTCCCCCACTTTTTTGTTAAACTGCTGGCAAGCATTCTGGGAATACATGGATAGGATCCTGGGACGCTTTTTTACCGTCTTCATAACCCTAGACTATAAAGTTATGTTCGAAAATGGCCACTCAGCGACCTGTCAATGTTAAAAAATTTTGTAAATCAAATCACTAAATCATTCTAGAGTGCCAAGGATAATGAGCTTCAAAATGAGGTTTCACTACACCCGATTTCATTCAAACAATGGCTGGGCGCCATCTTAGATTATTGGATTCAGACACAAGTTGCCCTCTAAGTCTATGTAATCGGTTGCCTTAAAAAAAATTGTACAATGCAGGTTTTTCCACCGTGAATTGAATGTTCAACTATCAACGCTCTGAAGGTCCTGATGGTTTTTCTCATCCTAGAGATGCAACTGTTATTAAATCAAGTATTCAAACAATGTATGAGCTCTGCCATCTATGAATCTAAGCTCGTTGAGCCTCGATGATTTTGTCATACGTTAAACTCACCCACTGGAAAGGTACAACTTCTATCTCTAGATAACTTTCGAGTTCCAAGTAGACTGGATACAAGTGAGTTAAAATGAAATATCTGCACCCTGGGCATAGCGACTCAAAGAATACAGTGACTTTCAGTTTATCTGTAGAAGTAGCCTAGAATATCAAAATCATAACGTTAGTGCAAGAAAACGAACGTCTGTTTCTTAGTCTTTAAGCCAGTATGTTTAGAAGTACCCTAAAATGCCTTACTATATATTTGTAAATGGTGCTGTTAATAAATGGACTTAAAACGATGTATGATACTGTATGATGCTTCTTTCAGAATTTAGGCAGTAAGAGCTACGATGTTTTTAAATAAAAAATAAAAATGTCCAATGTTCCTTCTTCGTTATTATATTATACAACAGACACATATGTAAAACTCTGTTTAATTACTGGGTCTCTGAATACAAATAAAAATTTATTTGTACAAATTTTATAGTTTTCAATCAGATCCTTCCTACCAATCTGGAGCAAGTAAGGTTAACTAACCAACAAACATCCATAATTTCTAAGTCTAAGCAGAAATGTTCGCTTTATTGATACAATAACAATTGCTCTTCACAAAACATCATTTTTTACTAAATTGTTTACTTACAATGCTACTATTATGTACAAGGCTTTACCCTCTGATGCTAAAGCTAAATTTCACGAACTTCAAAAATTTTTTAAAAAATAATTTTTGAGTAATCATTTACATAAATTTATCTCTTACTTCTGCTGATGATATATGCATCAATATGTATGTATACGAGGGACGTCCTTTAAGTTTTGCACATAGAAATATAGTAGGCCGCGCGGAACGAACGTCGGTACAGAATCTTAACCTCACTCTTTAGTAAACTTAAATTCAAAGTTTCACAACAATACGTGCGTGTTCTCACTACAGTGAATTTTTAAGTGTCAACAAGTCCTTATAAAAATGGAGCTCAACCGAGAACATTTTCGCGCCATAATTTATTACAACTTTCAGAGACAATTATTGCAAATAGAATGCCTTGCTGAGTTACTGTCTGTTGTCGGCAACGAAGCGCCACATCAGTCGACAATTTCCCGTTGGTATGGAGAATTCAAACGTGGACGGGTGAGTCTTAGTGACGATTCCACTGTGGGTGCAGGAAAACGTCGATGCTGTGCCCAAACTTATCATTGAAGATAGACATGTGACAATTCGCGAAATTGAGGCGTCCTTGAAGATCTCAAAGACCTCAATTCAAAAAAATTAACATGAAGAATTAGGAGTAAGAAAATTAGTTTCTCGTTGGATACCCCATCTGTTGACTAAAGAGCAGAAAGCAGCCAGGGTTAATTGGTGTCAAAAAACGCTTGACCGTTTCAATTCCGGAAACTCAAAAAATGTGTACAGCATTGTTAGTGGTGATGAATCGTGGATTTACTGTTATGAACCAGAAAATAAACGACAGTCGGCTGTTTGGTTGTTCCAAGGTGAAAAAAAGCCAACAAAAGTCATCCGTTCTCGAAGTGTTCCGAAAAAGATGGTCGCGACATTTGTGTCAAAAGCGGGTCGTATTGCAACAATTCCTCTTAATGAGCAAATAACTGTTACTCCGGATTGGTATACCATCATTTGTTTGCCAAAAGTCATCACCGAGCTTCGAAAAATCAACCCCGAAAGCAGAATCATCCTCCACCAAGACAATGCAAGCTCGCACACAGCCCAAAAGACAAGGCAGTATTTAACGGAAGAAAACGTGGAATTATTGGGCCATCCTCCATATAGTCTCGATCTAAGTCCTAACGATTTCTTTACTTTCCCGAAAATTAAAAACAGACTGCGTGGTCAAAGGTTCCAGTCACCAGAAGAAGCAGTTGACGCATTCAAAAATGCCGTTTTGGATCTGACAGCAAACGAATGGAATAAGTGCTTCGAAAATTGGTTCGAGCGCATACAGATGTGTATTAATCTTCGTGGAGAATACTTCGAAAAACAATAAAGTCATTTAAAACTACCTACCGTGTTGTTTTATTTCCATATGCAAAACTTAAAAGACATCTCTCGTAATGTCCAATCTTGATTTACCTGTGTTTTACTCAAATAATGTATTTTTTTATGTTGAAACTCTGCACATTAGTGGTTGGTATATATTTTTTTGGATGGACATTTTACGGGTTAAGTGATAGAATAGCTTATGCTAAACTTTGCCCGATAAAGACGATTATTATTATTATTATTATTATTATTAAATGTACATTCAAGAAGGTGTAATTATCAACTTTATTATGTTTACTTACCTGGCATAGACTAAGGGCATACAGTATAGCAAATGAATACAGTAATTTCTTCATATTTATTTACTGTAGTAATAATGTTTATCAAACAGCAATAAGTGGAACTTAAATAGTGTACCTATATGGGATGCACTGAGTAATCAAACATAATAAAACAATACAATACTTGAAGTACAATCAATTCTCCCATCGATTTTCATCACCTTATGGATTAGACCAGTCAGTAATTGATTTTGAATAATCATTAATATCTCCTATTCAGTGGATAAATATTGCAACCTTAAGCACTGTCATAATGATTCAAAGATTTAAAAACCATTTAGATTCAGGAAGCTTGAATGATGATTATTAAAATATTAATGTCCTGTACTGATAACTAACTTTCTAACGAATGAAGTAAAAACGTTGTCACGGTAATAGAAAAATGATAAATAATAAGACTGTGAATATCCCTATGTTTTCACAAGCCAAAACCCAAAATGGGATGCATCTCTGAAAGAGTCCTGCTTCAAGAGTTGATTGAGATTTTTCACGTATGTAAGAGAAAAGTTATTCCAATACGATCCTATGCTAAAATACTTAGATGCGGTGTGATATAATTTTGATTTCTTTCAGTACCCAAACAACTGGACCATAAGAGTAAAGAAACATTACAAGTGTGTTGTGCAAGTTCATAGATGGTTTTTCACAATGTATTTGAAATTATCTGAAAGATAAGTAATAAGTATTATCAGATATTTTCACTTGATTAGAATGAAGCAAATACTGCTTAGCCACAAGTGGGTGAAAAGATAACAAAATATATGTATGTACAAAAAAATTTTTTTCACATCGAGATTAATTATCGCATTCGTACAAGGAGAAGGTACATTTATCCAGGTAAATAACAAATGTGGGCATTCATGTAAAGCTTATTTTGCTTACTGTGCACAGTATTGTCACGGCTATTAACCTTCACCAAATCTCATTAAGACTAGTAATTTTTGTTTAATGCGATTAAATGCACAGTCCGTTTTATAACTGATATTATTGTCGTTGATTGTATTTATTAATCCCATTAGTTGGAACTACCATTCTTGATAAATGTCTGGAAAACGAATTATATGTCGAAGTGTCACATATTAATGAATTCTATCTAAAAATGGGACCAAGAAATTATATTATGTTAAGATACCGTAACTATGAGAATTTATCACAGTTTGTCTCTAATTGCTATATAGAGTTTAAAAAGGTTAGTATCTCACAGATGGCCTATTTGAGCATATACATCGGCGATCTGTGAGACTCTAACCTTTTTGAAGTTTATAGTAATAAGTACAAGTAAGCGCGAGAAGTGTGAATCAACACATGTTGAAAGAGATAGAAGCCGGCGGAAGAACGAAGGTCATCACCACGCTGCCTAGCAACGGTGACGCAATCTGCCGCGTTGCCAATATGTTACACCAGAAAATGTTCGCACATGCTTCTACAATAGGTAAGGTTACTGTAAATCCGAAGAGGGAGGTCTGTTCGGACATTTAATTCAATATCTTGTTTACATTTTGATTGGAATTATTCATTTTAATGGTTTAATTTATTCCAGAAACTGTGTTTGATTTCCACCGATGGTGATAAAATTAACACATCCTGAGTTATTGTTTCATTTTGCGATTGCGTAATACAAATGATCACTGCCTGCGTGTACGCAAGTGAAAACCATTTCGGACCAGGACACTATCCAACAAGCGCTCGATGGGTACTGACCATCTATGATCATGGAGGTGGAAACCTTGCCCTGGAATGTACGGGGTGGGATGTTGCCAAGTGAACCAGTGATACAATGTTGCATAATTTGTGGCGATCCTAACCTTTCATTTCGAACTGAAATGAAGCGCCGTTATGACCGACTTGGAAATGATCCTAAACAGATTTGACACAATTCACAATTCAAAAATGTGTACTCTCAAAATAAAACCATTATTTGGTCGTACGGATACTATCGTATATTTTCAGTATGCATCTTAATTCACGGAACTGGTGTAACATATTGGAAACGCGGCAGATTGCAACGTCAGCGTATGCTAGACAACGCGGTGATGAGCTTCGCCGTCCAGCCGGCTTCTATCTCTTTCTAAGATATGTGTCTATATACGGGGTGGCGCATCGAAAACGAAACAGACGCATTTACTGGCAGTTCAGTTTTTTTTTGAAAAACGCTCAGACCGGTCGATTTTTTTTCGAGGGGGACACAAGTTAGGAAAAAAATCACGTTAACACGTGCAGCCCCCTGGGCGGGGGTGACACCAACCCTAAAATCTTGAATGGAAAGGGGGGTCGAGTGATACCTTATTTTAAAGGTCTTTCAATTCCCTTTATAATGATGTAAAATACATGAGCTTCAGTTCAGTAGTTTTGAAGATTTATTGATTTAAAGCTTAAAGTAGACTTTAATAGGTGCATCAGATTAGTTTGTACTACTTTCAGAAGAAATTTGACTAAAAGAATTTACTTAATAAGTAAATGCTTTTCTTCACTACGCCCTTGGTTTGTTTATCATTTTGTTGTTGAAAATAGATATTGGAGCGTTTTTTTGTGGCAAAAAAGTTATTTCTTGAAGAAAGATAAGGAAGTATCTCGTACTTATTTTAAGTAGGAATTTAGTGCATAGTTTGAGATTGATTTGACCAAACTTTGTTGCTAAAATAACTTGTAACGCTTTATTACATAAATTAACCATGGTATATTCCACAGCAGAAAGAGTTAAAATTATCGAAATATTTTTCGGAAATAATCAGTGCGCTAATAGAACAGCAGAAATATTTAATGAGCGACATGAGAACAGTAAGGTGCATCGAAAATATGGTCTAGAACTTGTAGCTAAATTTCGGGAAACTGGGTCAATCGCCGATAAAAAACGAAACACTGAAAATCCCATAAAGAACGAAGCAATAGAAGTGGGGGTTTTAGGGCAAGTTTATGTAGATCCTACGTTAAGTTCCCGCAAATTGAAGACTGTGTGTGGCGTTAGTCGACGTACTGTCCAACGGATTCTAAAGGCCCATAGTTGTCATCCGCATAAAATTCACCTGGTACAAGAACTTAATGAAGACGATTTTGATCGGCGATTACAATTTTGTGAAGATATGAGTGAACTAATTATAAACGATGAACATTTTCTATCCAACACTTGCTTTTCCGACGAGTGTTCCTTTTTCTTAAATGGCGTAGTAAATCATGAGGTTCATACACAGCAGCCACAAAAATTATATGTTTGGGCTGGTATTTTTGGCAATCATTTAGTTGGTCCTTTTTTCTTACCTGGAAATTTGACCGGTGAAATGTATTTGGAATTACTGGAAGACGCCATAGATCCTGCATTAACAGCCATAATTGAAAATCAGAATGATCGGCGGTACATTGCGAATAGGTTGATGTTCCAATAGGATGGTGCCCCACCACATTACGCATTACGTGTTCGACAATATCAAGATCAGACGTTTCCAGATCGATGGATTTGTAGAAGAGGTGCCATTGAATGGCCCCCTGGATCGCCAGATTTATCACCTTTGGATTTGTTTATGTGGGGTCATTTAAAGAGCAAAATCTATGCTATTCAGCCAACATCATTAGAAGACCTGCGACAATGAATTGTGAATGAGTGCCTTCAAATTACTCCTCAAATATTGCAAAATGTGCGGCAATGTTTTGAGCAAAATCTTCATTATTGCATGGAGAGTCTTGGTGGCCATTTTCAACATTTACTTGCCTAATAGGTCAGTTCATTCTTCATTTTTAAAAATAACTTTGATGCCAAATGTATTGATCTACACTAATGATGATGTATTAGTTTTATTTAAGCTTTAAATCAATAAATCTTCAAAACTACTGAACTGAAGTACATTAATTTTATATCATTATAAAGGGAATTGAAATACCTTTAAAATAAGGTATCACTCGACCCCCCCTTTCCATTTAAGATTTTGGGGGTGGTGTCACCCCCGCTTAGGAGGCTGCACGTGAACTGAGCTGCCAGTAAATGCGTTTGTTTCGTTTTCGATGTACCACCCTGTATACTTCTCTCTCATACACATTCAACTCAAGCCGTCAGACAAATTTGGTTTTCAGTGTATAGTAAATATAGAAGCTGCTTTTCATAGATGGCGCTACGATATCTTATTATTTCTTGGACGCGGAATTATATCATTAGGTTGCATATCTTGAGGTAGAGTACGTTAATCAATGGTAGAATCTTCTATCGCATAGTTTTCATGCAGATATTGCGTCGTCTTTATCCAGCAGTGTTGCCGCTGGTTCAGGAAATTATCATATATGATTTATGTCAAAGTCCAATCAATTTATATTTGGTAAGTGATGAGAAAATGCCTATACATACCTCGGTTAGTTAATAATATATGTTACTATTTTCTATTACAGTCATTTTTTATGTCAGCGAAACAAGTTCTATAAATGCAGTAATAGCTAACAAGAATACGTTGTGTGCTGAATAAAATGATTCTGGATCAAGGAAAAGATAGGGACTTGCAACCAGGAACCAGCATGAAATTTGGAGAGAATTCTAGGCTTTCCAGCAAAATATTTGTAAAACTAACAGATTTTGCAGTTTAACAAAAAATTTGTACTAACTCTTCAGCGTCTTTCAAGTTTTATATCAACAGTTGTGTGAACAAAGTGGTCCATTTCATTCACACTGTTCGAAAACATGTGTCGACACAGTACCATTGAACGTATCAAGATTTCAGGAATTTCCATTCAGTTAGATCAAGCACAAGTACATAATATGTCCAGGTATTCATACGCTTATACCCTGCTAAGAGCAATGTGTACGCCACTGTTTAGAGAAAACTCCAATCAAATCAAATATTCATTATGACTGCCATTTTCAAAATATCTACCAACAGATGTTACAGTGTGCAAACTTAGTTTGGTGGAAATTATGGGTAATTAGCATCAAATGGTGATTTTGATTACAAGCAAACTGGTTGAACCTAACTCTTGTTTTACCACTTTTCCAGGATGTGCTTTGCAAACTAGCTAACTAAGGAAACAGTTTACTCAACGTAGCACGTTTCAGACACTACTTATAATGAACAAACATTTCATATTCTCGCCACTACTAATCAATGGCGTAGCTTACTTCTGAGGGGCCTCATAACAAAATTTGTCGGAAAGGGTACAATTCTGAGTGACTACAAACGAAAC